CGATATTCAGCTTCAGCAGACGAACGAGCAACAACCGACTGTTTCTTTGTACGCCAAGAAATAGGGGAGGAACCAAGCCGAATGAAATAGCCAGTAGTAGAACGACGAGTCGTCTGACAGCCTCCCCAATCAGCATCACAGTAAGCAGTCAGACGCAGGGAACCACGAGTGGGGAAAAAGAGACCACGACCTGGGGAACCTTTCAAATACCGTAAGATACGATGAGCTGCAGCAAGATGAGCTTCAGTGGGAGCATGGACAGCCTGGCTAAGAAGATTGACAGCATAGGTGATGTCCGGACGAGTAACCGTGAGATAGAGAAGGCGACCGACGAGCCGTCGAAAAGCAGCCAGATCAGCGACCGCAGGAGAGGCAATACGTCCCAATTGATGATTTTGTTCAATTGGGGAAGAAGACGGACGTGTAGCCTGGAAACCAGTATCGGCGAGAATATCAAGCACATATTTTCTCTGATTGAGAACCACTCCTGCACGAGAACGAGCGACTTCGATCCCAAGAAAGTACTTGAGAGGTCCCAAATCCTTGATCGTGAATCGATCATGGAGAAATGTCTTAACGGACTGAATGAAACTCATGTCATCACCAGCAAGGATGACATCATCGACGTAGATAAGGGCGACAACAAAAGAGGTGGCCGTACGGTAGATAAATAAGGAATGATCAGCAGGGCTCTGCCGAAAATGAAGCTCAAGCAGGGCTGTGGAGAATTTATGATACCAATTCCGAGAGGCCTGCTTGAGGCCATAGATGGACTTACGAAGCCGACACACCCGACGATCACCTGGTATACCAAAACCCTGAGGGACCTTCATGTAAACCTCCTCATCAAGATCACCATGAAGAAAGGCATTGTTGACGTCAAGTTGATGAATAAACCAGCCTTTCGTGACTGCAACGGCAAGAAGACAACGAACCGTAACGAGCTTGGCCACTGGAGCAAAGGTATCGTGATAATCAATGCCTTCAACTTGAGTGTAACCCATGGCTACAAGTCGAGCCTTGTAGCGCTCTATGGAGCCATCGGGGTAGAACTTGATCTTATATACCCACTTCGAGTCGATGGCCCGCTTGCCGGGAGGTAAGAGGGTGAGTTCCCAAGTACCATTTGCGACCAAGGCATCGAACTCGGTGCGCATAGCACGCCGCCAATGAAGATGACGAACAGCCTGGAAGAAATACTTAGGCTCGGTAGTGACGGAGACCTTGGTGAGAAAGGCTCGATGAGAAGGAGACAAGCGATGGTAGGTAACAAAGTTGGCCATCGGGTAAGTGACGTGCTGAGCGTGGGAATCACCATGCAAGTTAGTATCATAGTCGGCAAGACGAACATGAGGGCGCCTTGGTCGATCCCCACGACGAGGTGGAGGAGCTGGGGTAGTGAGTGGTTCTGGTGCCTTGGCATGGGGAGAAGATTCCGGGCTGACGACATCCGAAGAGGGTGTAGCACAAAATTGAGGGGAGTCGGGTGAGGAGGCCTCGGCCATAATGGTGGTGAGAGGGGTGACCTGTTCAGCCGGGATAGCTGCCGTAGCTGAGGGAGAGCATGGGGAGTCAGCGGAAGTGCTGGGCTGGAAGGCGACAGGAGATGTGGCCTGCTCAGGGAGGTGCGGCACTAGAGGAGATGTATCATCACCCACAACTCGAGTAGGGACAAAAGAAGCTGTAGTGGATGACAAAAATTGAGGCCCCAAACTAGCGAGGACGTGGGGATCTTTGTAGGGAAATGTAGTCTCCATAAATATGACGTCCCGTGATGTATATATATGTTGTGTTTCCAAGTCATAGATACGAAAACCCCTTTGAGCAGTGGGATATCCCACGAAAATACCCGGGCGTCCTCGTGCATCAAACTTGTTTAAGGTTTTGCGATTATTTTTAGCATAAACCAAGCAACCCATGCTCCACAGATGATCGTACTTGGGAGATGTCCCAAGTAAGAGTTGAAATGGAGTTTGATGTTGGATGGGAACAAGAGGCAGCCGATTGATGAGGTACGCTGCCGTGAGGATGCACTCGCCCCAAAATTTGAGTGGAAGACCCGCATGAAACCGTAGTGCGCGAGCTGTGTCAAGAAGATGACGGTGCTTACGTTCAACGACACCATTCTGTTGGGGGGTATCCGTGCAGGAAGTTTGAAGGATGATACCTTCCTGTTCATAGAAATCACGGAGAGGAGGAGTGGAGAACTCACGACCATTGTCTGCCTGGATACGACAGACATTCTTTCCATGTTGACGTCGAGCTTGACGACAGAAAAGGAGCAGATAGCGCGCCACTTCAGACTTGTGGCGCATCAAGAACACCCACACAGCACGACTAAAGTCATCGACAATGGTAAGAAAATAACGTGATCCATTAAGAGAAGGTTCTGTGAAGCCACCCCAAATGTCGACATGTATAAGTTCAAAACAAGACTGAGTTTTAATACTGCTGTGCGGAAAAGGAAGTCGAGTCTGCTTCGCCTTCAAACAGGAGTCACATGGTTCTTTGCTGGAAATTAAAGGACAAGAAATAAAAGGCTGCAGGGCCAACAGTTTTGCTCCAGAGGGATGCCCTAGTCGAGAGTGCCAAAGCTCCGATTTCCCCAAGGCTTGATGCGCCGAATAAGCAATTGGATGACTCTGCTCAATGACCCGCAGTTGATATAAACCATCACTCTGAATCACCATGCCAATCATCTTCCTCGAGGTCAAGTCCTGAATAACACAAAAATCACTTAGGAATATCACGGCTACATGATGATCTGCAGTGAGACGGCTGACGGATAATAAGTTGCACTGAAAATTCGGGATGTGTAAGACTCGATCTAAGACCAAGCCCTTTTGCAACCGTGTCATGCCAATATGATGAACCGGAACCCCTTTGCCATTAGGGATCCGAACCTGCAAGTTGGAGTTGGGCTCGAACTCACCAACAAACAACGAATTATCGGTGACAATGTGCTTATTACAACCAGAGTCTATAATCCAGGAATGAGAGAGAGGAGATGATTTACCTGACATGTTAACCGCCATCCCAGCAGCGGGTTTGGAGATGGAATCCATGCTGAGAAACGTCCGGAGTTGAGCGAGTTGTGCTGCGGTTAGGCCGGGGACGTTGCTGCTGCTATTTTCACTTTCCACGGCAGCAGCTTTGGCGTCGGAACGAGTCTGCTTAGGAGGACGACGTCGCTGCTTGGAACCATTTCTCCCGCCGTGAGTGCTACGGGAACCAGAGCTGTCCAATCGTTGGGGATAGCCAATGATTTCGTAGCACGTGGCCTTGAAATGGCCAGCCTTCTCACAGTGTGTACACCAAGGGCGACCTTCAGGAGTGCGGGGTTCAGGAGTAGCGGAGTCAATCTTGCTTTGGAAGGCAGCCGCATCGAGGGAAGGACGGGACTCCTGAGATAGATGGCGCTGCTGCTCATCATTAGCAGCCATTTGGTACGCAGCACCAAGGGAAGGCGTGGGAGTCATGGAGAGCAGTTGGGTGCGGACAACCGAAAAGGTATCGTCGAGTCCAAGGAGAAAATCGAGAAGGCGCATCTCCTCATGAGACGAACGCGTGCGCTGCTCAACGTTGCATTCACACTTACCACAAGTGCAACGGGCAGGAGGATCAAGTGCAAGCCAGTCATCCCAGAGACGTTTCAGCTTAGAATAGAAAGCAGCAACACTCAGCTGATCTTGACGAAGACTGGTGATCTCGCGCCGCAACTTGTACCTGCGAGGGAGATTGCCGGTACTGAAGCGTTCCTTCAGTTCAGTCCAGATTTGCTGCGCGGTGAGATTCGGGCTGAGGCTGTTACGAATGTCCCGACTCATCGCGGTACGCAACCAGCCAATGACAGCAGCATTGCAACGGATCCAAGCATCCAGTTGGAGACCAGAGGCAGGGCGAGGAGTAGTGCCAATAACGAATCCTAGTTTGTTTTTGGCAAGCAGGGAATTAGTCATCTCCGCCACCCATTCACCATAGTTCAGATCGGTAAGGACGTCGCTTACGAACATGAGATTGGGATGGTCCGAGGGGTGTAGATGAAGCGGCGACGATACGTCGATGGTGGGAGAAGCCCCAGTAACGAGAATACCTTCATCAATGCTCATCCTGATGGACAAGGCGGACAGAAATCAACGTTGGAGGCCGACGCACAAGCTGGGAACGAGATACTTGGAGAAGCCCGAGCTGAAGAAGTCGGCGGAGCAGAAACAATCCAACAGCGAGAAACCCTAACCCTAGATTGCGAGACGCTCTGATACCATGTAGAATTTTGATATGCGGAATAGATAGAACAGAATAACACAGGAGTTTTACGTGGTATCCTCGTTCTTGATTGAACGAGACTAATCCACGGTGAGCTCGAATGAGCTCACGACTAGACCTTTTATTTATTCTGTGTTTTTTATATTTTCTCTTGTTATGGCCTACAACCATGAACCGGCCATTATATAGAAGATAAAGACTCCTAAACCACAAACAAATACGTGGAACACAAGCAACAGGACTCATAAGCAGCAAGACTCAAACGTAAGAATACAAGACCGACAAGGACTAGGACACGTAATAACGTAATAATTATCATAGGCTGGAAATGACATTTCTTTCAAGTTTTCATCCATCATAATGTATGAAATTTATCTAAATTAGGCGTCCATATGTTGTGGTCTACATATACATATACAAATATACACTATATGAGCAATATTGAGCTTTATATTTTATGAGTCTAAAAGGGATGAACGTTAACTCTTGAGTGGTCTGGTCATGCAAAGTATTAAGTATGTGTATATAATATATGTTAGATATATGACTAATTACTTAACTGGTTAATTTGGTTTGACTGGTTAGGAGTGTCTGAAACCAAACCAAACCACCTAAACCAAACAAGTTAAAAACTTTAACCAAACCAAACTAAATTATCCAAATTAACCAAACCAAATTATCCAAATAGTATTGGTTAAAACGGTTACTATGGTAACCAAACCGTTTTAACACCCTAAGCGGCCCATCAAAGTTCGGGGCTTCGTGCCTCTTCTTACCAAATAACTTTCGGGCCACTTATCTCGTGCTATACTATGTCTTCTTAGTGCTAGGCTTCTTCTTCCTCCCTCTTCTCTCACCATCCCAGTTGAAGATGCAATTGCCATGTCTCCATCTCTGCAACTGCAAGACCTTGTCGCCGATCCCTCTATTAGGGTTCCGACACAGCCTCAGATTGGACCACGCCTCGCCCAATCTCCATTTTCGCCGGATTTCCGGCTACGAACCGAGCCATAGGAGGGCGAATTGCCATAGCAAACGTCATGAGCGCCATAGCACGAATTCCCGAGACCGAGCACCGAAACCGAAGGGAAAGAAGGAAAATATTTGGAGCCTCGACAATGATATGGCGAAATCAACGGCTGGGAGAGAGAACGAAAGATCGAAGCAGGAGAGGAAGAAGAAAGGAGGGCGTGCGGTTCAGGGGAAACGGTCCAGAGGGGGAAGTATCATGGTCTCTGGTGCCTTGCTTATGGAGGTTGAGACTGTCCTCCAGACTCAGGTACTTCGCGAATTGGTCGTTTGAACTACCTGTATCAAATTCGAAAGATGCTGCCTGATAAGCTCATTGATTAACCAGTGCATTTGTGTGTTTTGGAACGCTTTGATTGCGTGTCTAGCATAGTGACCACACACTTGTTTTTCTACAATGAGAAACATCAGTGAAGATGAAAAGAATGGTGGTTTGCTTTCAGGAACCTGTGATTAGGCCTCTCTGGAATACGTTTGAAAGTAGCGTGAGTGGGATATGGAAAGGGGTTGGGGCAGTTTTCTCCCCCATCACAGCTGAAATGGAGCCCATTGAAATTGGGAAGAAGGGGAAAGAGGTTTATGACTGCTATACTCTTTCCCGCGTCGAAGCTGTGCCATCTCCATCTAAAGGGCAGCCGTCTCAAATACATAGAAAGATAAATTGGGCGACTTTCAATCCACAAGGTGAAGTGTTGCAGAGTGGTGGAGGTAGTAATAAAGTAAAATTTGAGCATGAAGAAGGGCACGCTTCTTTATCATCCAACGGAGCCATTGATGCCGGTGTAGGAAATCAGATGTTGCCTAATTATGAGTCTTTTGACTTGAAATCGAGTGATGTGATGGAAGAAGATGTGATGGGCAATGAACCTGGTCTGGTTTTCTTTGAGGTAATGATTAATCGGCCAGCAATTTCCTTTACTAGTTTAAAATCGTTATGGAGCAAGAGGTGCTTGGCAGCTTTATACTAAGGTAAATTATTGATGGAGAGTATTAATGTCTTTGTGCTCTTGCACTCATCGTTGGTTTCGTTCTTGCATGCCTTCCAAGTCTTTTTTCTTTTGAAGCTATTGGATAGCATGACCCATCAATCTGTATATTGCAACTGAAGCGATTGACTGATTCATCAGGATGGATCATATTCAAGAGGGCCCGTCATGATTCCAGTTGGTGAAGTTGATGATTCCAACTACTTCATGTCTCCAACTTTTAAATTTGAACAGGTGAGGTTCTCTATTTGGCAACAGTATGCGTCCTTCAAAATTCAGTTTAGCAGGAAATTTGTTGCAATTTTCTTGACTTTTTTTCTTTCTAGTGTTTGGTCAAAGGTTGCCACAAGAGACTGCGTATTGTGCATACTATTGAGTTTAGTCAAGGAGGTGCAGATGTGCAGATACTAAGAGTTGCCGCATATGAAGAACAGTGGGCCAGTCCTGCTAATCTTGACGACCAAAGGTATTCCGTGCTTCAACTTGACGGGTGAAGAATTTGAACTTTGTTGATAAGAATTTTCAAAATAGTATGCTTAAAAAGAGTCAGAATGGTCCTACTACTAGCTTCATACTATGAGTCAAGCCGAGTAGGATAGGAGAGAAATACTAGGTCAAGCCGAGTGGAACCATAACACATCAATGGACTTGGCATCTGGCTAAATACTTTACAATTTCATAAGTTCTGGTTGTTACTTGGACGATGGAAGTAACCATTGTGTTTCAATGAATTTAGATGAACCAAAGTCTAATTTTAGGGAACTGCAACCCATTGTTTTGAAGTTGACATGGTGTGCTTATATGTTGGCAGTGACGCAGAATTTGATTTGAAGCCATTTTCACAGCGGAGAAGGTTGCGGCCATCAGAGCTCATTGGATCCTGGAAAGTGTTTGAGATGAGTGCTACTCCAATTTTTGGTCAGGAGATTATATCGGACATCAACGACAATGGTTCTTCCCCGTATGTCTACCTTTGCACTGAGACCTTGAAGAAGCGGAGCCTGCCAGGAAATTCTGTCCATTTTGGTGAAGAAGAGATGTTAGATACACAAGATGTGACGGTTCTTTGGCTCCCAGGTGGTGTGACAGCTTATGTCGATGTCAACAAGGAAGGCATCCTTTGCATTGGTGTTGGCTGGTATTCGGATGAAGGCATAAACCTTGTGATGGAAAGGGATTATGATCTGGATGGAAACTTGAAAGAGGTTCGCTCCAAAACTGAACTCAAACGACGCTGGTCTGATTAATGCCGAGTTTTGGCGCTACGTAGCAGGAACCCTCAACTGTGTGAAACAGGTTGTTGGCATTACGAGAGATTGTTTAGTGTTTTGCAGTTTGTTTACATGCCAAAATTGTGACCAACAGAAAAAATCGCATCAAATAATATGGATTGGATGGTCATATGTAGCATAGTTCTATTCCAAAATTCTCTTGAAGTTCACTCGATGCACAATCGTACAATCCCACACATGCTTTCACAATAGTCAACAGTCTAAAAGCTCAAATAACCACCACTACTACCTTGGAAGAGATCAGACAGACTGAGAATTAAGTTCACCAAAAACTTGGTTACAGAATCCCCACCAATGACATGCTCAATGTGAACTAGATGGGTTTGATCTTGAAGTGGAGCGAAATGAGGGAGAAAACAAAGCACTTCAGATCCTGCAAAGCATGAAATCGTCATGATCGCCATCATAAAACTATAGCAGGACGAAGATCTCAAGATCAACACCAAGATGGAAGAACAGATTGCTTTTATCCTGAGGTGTCAAATATTCAACAATGTAAACCATATCACGAGAAACCAAATGCTGGCAGTATACAATACAATCTATATGCTAATATGCACCATAGACTCGTTGAATCACTCACTCATCATAAAATTTGGAAGCAACAAGCCGCGAAAGAAAAAAGTGATATCAAATCAACCGACCTGAACAAGATAGTAGAAGATGCGAAGCCCTTCAGGGTCCTTACTGCTCTGTACATCAACAAGTGAACCGATTTTGGAGGTAGTGAAGGAAATGTGCTCATTCCCCATCACAATCTCAAGCTCTTGTCGTCCAACCCTATCAGGTTCCGGCCAGTTGTTATCATCTTCCTTCATGATCTACCAAAACCCAATCATAACTTTTAAGAAGCTAACAATGCCATGAAAAGAATGGGACCGCTTCACTAAATTGAAAACATTAGAGCTATGATAACAACATCTCTGACTGGAGGAACCACGGCGGAAACCCTAAATACATTGAGGAGTGAGATAAGACAAGGTCCCGGGCAGTTGTTACCAAAACCCAAATCATCATGAATTTTAAGAGGTCAACAAGATAAGGGATTGTTCCAGCAAATTGAAAACTCCAGAGCTATTATAATAGAATCTACGACTCACTCGAGGAACCGCGGTTGAAACCCTAAATACATCGAGAGGTGAGATAAGGGACAGAGAGAGGGGAATAGAGAAAAGCAAGCCAGCAAACCTCGCTCTCAGAAATGATGCGGCGGCACTCCTTGAGAACCGCGGGGGAAAGAAAGACCTCCTTGCGAATCATGGTGTCGTTCTTGTAGTTGGAGTTATTGGCGTATCGGAGCTTGCCGTCCGGCCGGAACTCGAACTCCAAGAACTCGTGACCAAACTTTCCCTTGTGGCCAACGTAATACCGAAGGTAAAACTCTCCGTCATCCTCCGATGCCATATTTTCCCTCCCGAGCTCTGCCTTCAACTTCGATTTCCTTGGGAGTTCAAATCACAGCTGGGGAGAAAAGTTATTTATTAGTTCTTTCGTTCTTCAAGTAACAGTAACAGCAACGGCAACAGCAGCTATTCGGTATGGATCTAGGTCGGTTTCCAACTTCAAACCCATCCCATTATCGGGAGTTTCAGGCCCCATAACTGGTTTGGGTGCTGCGGCTTGATTATCTGGGCTTTAATTGCTATTCCGGGTGGACTTATTATTGTAGGCCCACTAAATAGAAACTCTCACCTTTAGGAGTGGGCAAAGACGCAAAGTGAAACGGGTATTTGGGTATACTCAAACCCGTCAAATTTAAAGAGGTTATGAGTACCCAAATGCCTGTTATGTTTGTTGCGGGATGGAATTTGGGATTAATAATCTCAACTTTGGATACCTGCGGATTACCCGCTAATACCCATTTGGGTAGTTTGGGTACCCGTATTACCCAATTAAATTATTAAATGTCATAAGCCCAAATCCGAAACCCAACCAAGCCCAATCGTCCAGCCCATTACCAGTCCCTCTCCCTCACTCGGCTGGGCCCTCGGCGTCCCTCACAGGCCGAGCGCTCCTCTCGGCCAGCCCATTACCGTTTGGGTAGTTTGCTGCTGAGTGAGCTCCACCGGACTCGGGAAGAAGTCGGCATTCGACTTGTGAGAAGACCTAGAGCAAGAATGCTGGTCTCCGCCTCTCCCCCAAGCTAGGCGGCGGCGACTCCTGGCTCTGACTCCTCTCCGTCGTTGATCCCGACGTCGCCGACCGCTCCTCTCCTCAATCCTCTGCCAGTCTGCACTCTCTCGCTGCTCTCCTCAGTCCTCTAACAACAATATATAATCCACTAATCAGACTCATTATTGTACTTCTGTGAATTGCCAAATTGGTGGCGGACCATTATTGTTATTATGTGAGAAGGGTGGCAGACCATTATATATATGCAGCTTATTGTTATTTTGTAAATGTTCCCATTATTAAAAGGGTATAAACGAGTAGTTAGGGTACTCGTTATCCATCCCGTACGAGTTTACGGGTAGCCGTTACTCGTTCGGTTTTGGGATATGGGATGAGCTTTGGTCTCTAAATGGGATTGGGTACCCGTTTCCCACCCCTACTTTATGTAGCAATTGAGTATGAATTTTGAAGTCCATCTTTTATGACTAACTTTTCTCTTTTACTTTTTTTTTACCGAAACTTTCCTCTTTTACTTCATTTTACTTCTCATACCTAACAATAAACATCCGTTTTATTTGGGTAAATATAATATAATAGCCTAATTTTTCACTTTAAACAAAAAATAGTCAAATCTTTTCAAACACAATTTAATATCAGAATCGTCAACTTTCCGTCTGTTCAACTGTTAGTTGACTCTGACTCGACAAAGTATTATATGAGATGGACCGCTACTTATGACGTGGGAAAATTTAAATATTTGATGTTGCTAAATGGATAAAACATAAATTTATATATTAAATAAAAAAAGCTAAACACCATTTTCCGTCGAGTCCCACCGTTGACAATTCCCCCAAATCTCCGATTTCATATATGGACATGAACAACCTCGTCGCCATCAAGGTCCTCGGGCAGGCGCTATGGGGATGGTTCTTATGATCCACGAACGAACATCCACAAGCCCTACGCCCTCAAGGTCATCGAGGATTCCCAATTCCACTGCCAGTTCGAGGTCGAACAACTTTCCGTCCGTTCAATTGTTAGTTGACTCTAACGTGGCAAAGTATTATGTGAGATGGATGACTTCTTATGGCGTGGCAAAAAAATAAATATTTGAAGTTACCACATAGATAAAACATAATTTTATATATTAAATAAAAAAGGCTAAGCACCATTTTTCCGTCAAGTTCCACCGTTGACAATTCTCCCAAATATTTGATTTCAGATCTGGACATGGCCAACCTTGTCGCCATCAAGGTCCTCGGCAGGGCGTTATGGGGATGGTGGTTAAGATCCACGACCAAACCTCCACGAGCCCCTACACCCTCAAGTAGGGCTGGGCATGCGGGCGGATCATCCACGGGTTTGGGCCGAACCACCCGCATTTGACCCGAATTTCGTAAAGTGGGTGGGTCTGTGGGTGGGTGACGGGTTGCGCTGGGAGCCATCCGTCGGGTGGTGGGTGGGTTGTGGGTGAGTGTGCGGGTGACCCGCTCAACCCAACAACAAAAAGATCAAAGTCGTTGGCGCTAGCGAGAGGAGAGTGGAGACGTTAGATATAAACTCGGACTGCTCCTGGAGTTTGAACCTCAAAGCCAACCTTCCAAATAGAGATCCCCTCTTATTCCCTTTACTTTTTCCTCTAATTCTTGTGCCTAGATCACCGCTCTTTCCTTTGTGGAATTATTTTCCTTAGTTCCTTGCACCTAATAATCGTCTCAATCTGTAGAAAACTCTTTCATAATAGAATTTCTATCCAATTTAAGAACTAATTTGATATTTTTCGCCCTATTTCAACTTCTTGTTTCCCTTGATGATTCTCTTCACCTATTATCATGTCAAGTTGACTCCTTTATATTATATACATTGTGATGTGGGTGAACCCACAAACCCACCCGCATCATCCACCATCTGCCCGACCCAACCCGAGACTAAATGTGGGTGGATGGTGGGTTAAAAATTATCAATCCGTTTAAGCGCGGGTGGGTATATTTTATGGTCAAAATCCACCCGACCCACCCAATGCCCACCCCTACCCTCAAGGTTGTCGGGGATTCTTGACTCGCTCTGACTATCATAATAAAATCCCACCTAAGGTCCAAGTATAAACCTTAGATGGGTGCAATATAGTGCAAATATGTTTAAATATCGACCTGGGCCGGTCCATATACCGCTACTTCGACTGTTTGAAACATTATCTAGCGGATTAGTTTTGGTGAAAACAAAGGTCTAAAACTAAATTGTTTGCAAAGGTAAAATGGATTTAACACTAGTTGAGAAAGCTTCACCCGAGTGTTGCTCCCCCTAGCTAACAATTACGACTTGAAGAATCGAACAACCGTGTGTGGGGTCATAAATCGCAGGGAATGAGATACGATCCAAGCCACTAATATGACCCTCTCAACCTATTGACTAAGGAATGGTTAAACTTCACCCTCGAATTGGAGTTCGGACGGCCACCCACAACCAAACCCTAAGTGCTAATGCGAAATAGGAGGTTTTCCCTTTAACTAACCTAGAATAGGAGGCATAAAATTCCCAAGGAAACCCATCTCTAATAGAGCCTCTTAGGTTAAGGAGGGTTCTCTCTAAACTAGCTTAGGAGGCATTGAATACCCAAGGAAACCCATCTTTAATAGACCTCTTAGGTTAAGGAGGGTTCTCTCTAAACTAGTTTAGGAGCCATTGAATGGCCAAGGAAACCCAGCTCAAATCGAGCCTCTTTGGATAAAGGAGATTTCCTCTCTAAACTGACATAGGAGGCATGAAATGCCCAAGAACACCCATCTCAATATTGAGCCTCTTAACCTAAGGAGGTCTCCTCTGTAAGCTAGGTTAGAATGACAATTAGATTGATAGGCTTTCACACAACACAATCATTTATGAATAATACATCCACATTCACATTAAAACACAACCACACACAAACCATTCAATTCATACAAGCATTCACATAATTGTAGCTAGGGTTTACAAACACCCAAGTCAAAGAAGGGACTACTCCATGCTAGGATAAGGGAAAACACTAGAGAGGGAAAGGAAAACCATCAAGAAGATCTAAGACCGTGAACTAGGGCCATTGACCGTGAACCCATGAGAGCGAAGCAGTGCGTTTTGGACGACACTGAGTTCATGGACGCGTTTAGGTTTTCACGGCCGTGAACTGGCCAACGCGTCTGTGAACTGGTCACTTTCGGGCAAATATGAAGACAACAGCGGGGAGAGAGAAAGTAGGCTGGTTTTTGGAGAGAAATTCAATTCCCTCTCTAGGGTTTGCCCAAAAACACCAAAGGGAAGTTCTAGTTAGAGAGAGAGAGTGTGTGTTAAGAGTGATCTTGGAGCATCATTGGAGGCTTGGGTGGAGGATTCAAGCCTAGAATAAGAAGAAGAAGATCTTGAGCTCAAATTTGTAACCCCTCTCTCTTTTCTCTTGGGTGTTGTAGATCCCTAACTAATACTTTGTAATTACTTGTTTAGATTGAATGATTTGTATGGGTTTGCATCAAATTGAGTACTGGAGGCGTTTTCATGGTGATTGTGCTTAGTTGTGCTTTCCAAATCTTGTATGCTTGCCTAACCTAGATTAGAGGAAAACCACACCTTTTTAGGTAGGCTTGACAAGCTTGGTTTTCCTGGGCACTTTGCGCCTACTATCTAGGTTAGAGATGAGCATCCCCCTTGACTCAAGTTTGTATCTAGGTTGGTTGTGATTAAGCCTCTTAAACTCTGGTTTGAGGGAGAGACCTAGGCAGCCCCTAGAGACTGAGTGAGAGGATTGATTCCGTATCCATCCCGTGACAAATGGATCACTAGTTGCTCCTCCTAGCGGTTAACCTAGACTTGGTGAGTGGATCGATCCCATGACAAATTGATCGCTAGTGATTTGATTCCGTGACAAATCGATCACTAGTTGTTCACCCTCGCGGTTCACAACCACCTATGCCACACGACTCCATTCAATCCAATGAGTCATGGTATCTAGTTAGGGGGAAGCAACTCCTGGGTGAAGATCCCTTAGTTAGAGTTTTCCTTTATTTACTTTTCTTTGCTTGTTTAGTTTGTAGTTTTCTTAGTTTGAAAACACAAAACTGTTTTGCTAGATAACAACTTAAGCGATTGAAGTAGGGGTACATTGGCCGGCCCGGGTTGACAATTTAAATAATTGCTCCATACTGCACCCGGCTAGAGTTTAAAACTTGGGCTTTAGTCAGGATTAATTCGCGGTGTAGTTTCGTGCGAGTCAAGTTTTTGGCGCCGATGCCGGGGAACCTTGCGGTCAGTTATCTTGAAAAGGTCGTTTTGTGTTACTCTAGCTTTTATTTTTTTCTTGTCTTGTCTTGTGTTTTGTTTTTGTGTTTTATCTTTGTGTGATGCAGAGTTGAGCCATGGATCCCGATAGCTTCTCCTATCCGTGGGGGTATCCAAGAACATCCGAATGGTGTTACCCCGAGCAGACATGGGGCTATCAAGAAGGAGATGAGTACGGATCTGGGGTTCACTAT